CCCCCCCCCCTTTTCTGTGCTATACATACACAGCAGAAGTTGCAGCAGGAACTTCAGCTCTGCAGCTCTACGCAGTGCCAATGAGAGCACCACATGCCCACTGAAGTGGATGCCTATTGCATTTGCCTTCCTAATCATCATGATAACAGCTAAAATTTCCATGGGAAGACACCCGATACAGACTGCATCTGGGTCACCTTTATGTGCCGCTGTGCGTCTACTATTTAATAGATATCCGTGCCTGTATTTCTCATAGGTCTGTAGCCCCTAAGGAGAGGCCGGGAGCAAGGAGCACCTCTCCATACTGTCGCAACAGCAGCAGCTCACAAGAAGCTACAAAAAAAACAGCAGGTATACTTTTTCCCACGACCCCCACGAAGGGGGTCTGACCTGTGCAAATTAAGCCACAGCCCTCGAGTAAGTTGAGAGGACCGGGCATCAACTCATTCTGGGGAGTCTGCTGCAAGGGCAGGCCTAATGAGTGTTGCCGTTCGCATGTGTACGTACACTCGAGAGTTGAATGCGCTGTTTGGAGGTGCATAAGCCTCCCAGGTGTTTGCAGCTGAGGAGAGGAGGGACGGCCGTCCTGCTCAGCGTACTGACAGTTAACCTCCTGCCTCTGTGATGCTGTCTTAGGATCAAATGCGTAAATCAACAAGGAATAAATGGGTGGCTGGGGGTTGAAGAGCAGTAACAGCAGCAGCAGACGTTGTTGTTGCTGCCGCTGCTGTGCACGGGGAGATGTGCCCTTCTGCTGCAGTGTTTACTGCAAGGCGTTTGTCTTGTTGTTCAAAAAGAAGAGTATGAGACCGTTTGCTGCCTCGGAATAAGTCATGGAGCCGGGGTGGGACCTGATTGCAGCAGCAGCAGCAGCAGCTGCTGCTGCATGTTGTAGATACACTCGGCGGTTGCGTGGCCGAACGGTGCAAGGGCTGCTTAGCTCTTTTGGCCCCGTCGTCTCTCCCCACCTCCTTTTGCAGATAATAAAACCTCTTTCTTTGTTTCTGTCTCATCTCCTGCTCTCCAGCAGCTCCTGCTGCAGGTGCTTCGCCGCTCTTGCAGCCTCTTTTGTTGCCGTCCAGTTTCAGCTGTGTTGTGCCCTTCTGCTGTACTCTTCAGCTGCATCAATCTTCTAGCAGGCCTCTTCTTTGGGGGCCCCTCAGGAGGCCTGCAGCTCCCCATACACCTGAAGGGCCCCGCAAGACCACCCTACCCACACAACGCCTGCTTGCGAGCCGCTGTGGTCGCCGCCTGAAGTTCAACCTCCATCCTTCTTCCTTTAGGTGCGCTCTTTCTCTTATTTAATACACAGACGAACGCAGAGAAGCACAAAGCGGGAGGCGGGGGCCCCTTCCCTTGGGGGGTTCGGGCGCAGTGGAGATCAGTGTTCATCCCTAGCTACAGCTTGTGGGGGCTAGAAAGCGGGCCCACGGAAGGGATCTGCTCGGCTGAGAGTGTAGTAGAAGCAGGTGGAATAAACGGAAGCAGCTTGGTGTACCGACACTAGTAGTAACTGCTGCAACTCCGGCTGTTGTAGTAGTAGGAGCAGCAGCCAAGCGATGGTGGCCGCAGCATAGCAAGAAAACGGCCGCACAAAAGACACCTGCTGAGACAGCACTGTTGCTGCAGCTTCCGCAGAACTTACATCTGAAGTGGTATCGTTAGAGGCAGCGTCCGTAGATATCTCAGCAGGACCCTAGCAGCAGCAGCAGCAGCAGCGGTACCAGCAGCATAGCGGCGGCAATGCTACAGTGCCGCAGGCTGGTGTCTCACTGACAGTTGCTGCATGCATTGCCTTTTTATTGGTAGGATGTGCTTGTTTCAAGGACAAGGCGGCGACGCGTGGTGTTGATGCTGCTGGCGCTGCTGCTGCTGCGGTGTACGTACAGGTTACCATGCGAGTGGCCGCCTGCCTCAGCGACAACTTTCTGCTTTCTCTTTCTTCTCTCCCCGAGACGCAGAGACAGTTCATCATCGCCATATCCACCTGCAAGGATGAGGACCTCTTGGGCCACCTTAGGCCCTTCAAGGTTAGGGTTTAGGTTAGGGGGTTAGGGTTTAGGGTTTGGTGTTCGTTAAATCCTCAGGAGGCCTTTTGTTTATCATCTGCCGGTCCACTCCAGGAGTGTGCTCCGCTTGGTAGATGCTTCATGTGCGGCATTTGTTTCAAGGGTCTAGGGTTTAGGGTTTAGGGTTTAGGGTTTGGGCCTGCGCGCTCAGGGTTGGATGTGGGAGCGGCAGGGAGATGTCTCTGCTTGGGCCCCAGCATTAAACCGCTTCGATGATCTCCTTAATGCCTACGCAGTTCATACAGGACTCTTAATAGAAAGCTCTCAATCCAGTAGGCTAAACCCTAAACCCTAAACCCTAAACACTTGTTTTGCACTCTGAAGGCCTGAATCCTGTCCCCCTGAGGCTGCCGTAAGCATCGCGAGCTGCAATCTCCCTTTGTTTAATTCATTGCTTGACTAAGCTCGTCATTTCAGGCAGCCGTTAAACCCTAAACCCTAAACCCTTGCGCTGTGTGCAGGAGAGCCACTCGCGTTTATCCCCTGTGAGGCGCTGGTTGTTGCGATTATTGAGACCTCCTACATCGTCCTTGAAAACTGCTCGTCCAAGGTATGCCTTGTGCCGTTATGGAGGGTTTAGGGTTTAGGGTTTAGGGTTTAGGGTTTGGGTTGTAGTGTTCTGTGGGTGTGGTGTCGTCCATAAGGATTCCCGATTCCTGGGGTTTAGGGTATAGGGTTTGGGATCTTTGGGGCTTGTGCGCATGCAGTTCCTCTACGCCTCTGTAGAGGTGGTTACGGCGTTGTTGCAGTCTTTCTGTCTGCCAATTGTTTGTGGGGCCATTCAGCTGCTGGCTGTCTGCTACGGCTTCATCAGACGGTACACTAAACCCTAAACCCTAAACCCTAAAAGAGCCCGAATCGGTGCAAACGTCGATCCTCCTAGTTTTAAACCCTAGCCCTACCTAGTATACACCAGAGGATCTGTAAACCCTAGACCAGAAGGGCTGCAGACACTAAGCCCTTGGCTCTAAGCTCCTTATCCCCATCCTTGCCTGCTGGAAGTCGGGCCTTGCTTTTTATCGATCCTCTGTCCCCTGCTGCTGCTGCCGCTGTTGCTGGCAGTGGCTGCATATGCTGCTGCTTCTTCTACTGTTGCTACGGGAAGCAGTATTATTACCGTGACTGTTTTCCCTTTGTTTGTTTTGCTTGCATGCAGCAATAGGAGGAGTGCACTGCCTCGGGACTGCCCCGACTTTGGCAGCCGGCTGTCACTCTTCTGCTTCAGACCCGTGGCTTATGACGCCTTTGTGCTTCTGCAGCAGCCGGAGCTCGTAGCAGCAAGAGCTGCGAGGAATTCACCTTCTCCCCCGCGGCTCTCCTGCAGCAGCAGCAGCGGGAACAGAGGGAGTAACGCCAATGGCAGAATTGGAAATGCCGACAGCACAGGCATGGTCGTTGAAGGTGATGCAGCATCAGCGGCAGCTACAGCAGCAGCAGCAGCAGCACCTGCTGGATCAGCAGCAGGAGGGAGAGGCAAAACGGCAGCAAACCGGCTCGATCTCCTCTCGTTCTGTTTGGCAGACGAACTGCCAGCAGACATCGATGGCTTTTTCGAGTTGCAGTGGAGTGTCTCTGCTGCTGAAGCTGCAGCAGACAGCAGCAGCAGCAGCGGCAGCGACGCTATGATGGTTGATAACGCAAGAGAAGATGCTTGCAGCAGCAGTAAACAGCAGCAGCAGCAGCAACGGCCGCCGCATGCACTGCGGACTGTAAGGTTGTACTGTTCTGAACTACTGCTGCCCGGGTATTCTCGACGCACAGTCACGCATCCTGATGGAACAGCCTCTGCCTGCTGCACCAGCACTGCTGCTCCTGCTTCGCGCAGCAGCAGCAGCAGCAGCACATCAGCGGACTGCTGCAGCAGCTCCAGCAGGGACTGTGCAGCCAGTGCGGCACTCGAGGCCCACTGCAAAGCCATTATTCGCAAGTACAACATACCTCCGCAGCACCATCCGGTAGGGTTTAGGGTTTAGGGTTTAGGGTTGGGCGTGCCTTGGGCTGGTTAGAATTCGACATAACGCATTGTGGACAGTCCAGCTATTTGTTGTATTGCTGTTGCAGCAGCTGCTGCGTCGGTCTGTGTTGCTGCTTATGCACCTTCATCTGCTACTGCTGCTGTGCTGCAGGCTTTGCGACACCGGATGCGGTTGCTGCACGGGCTGCGGTGCCCTGCATACCGAGGGGGTCTAGTGGATGTGTATTTGTGTTCCTTGTCTTGCTTCATGATCGTGTCTCCTTCTCAGTTTGCACAGATGCTGCAGCAGCAGCCGCTGCTGCTGCCGGAGTTTGCTGCACTGCTCAAACACGGCGAACGCATCAGCTCCCGCACGCTGCTGCTTGCAGCAGACCTCCTTTCTCTCCTCCTCGTCAGTTTCATACCCTAGATAGCAGGCGACGTCCCTTCTGCATGCACTGCCGTGCCGCCAGTTCTGCTGCTGTGTTGCTGCTGCGGCTGCAGCAGAATCCCGATTATAAAGGGGGGGCCCTTGGCCTTTAGTGTTGCTGCTGATGTTTGGGACTCCCTGTGGTGGTTTAGGGTTTAGTGTTTAGGGTTTGTGGTTTGTGACTGCAGGAGGACAAGACGTTGTATAGACAGACCGCGGGGCTTGTGGGTGTCTTTTCTCCTTATGGTTTATTTTTATCTCTGTTGCGGCGGTTGCTGGCTAACCCTTTTGCGGATCGTCCCTTTCGAGTTTCGCGTATACACACAGCAGTCAACAGCAAGAGCAGCAGCAGCAGCAGCAGCTGCAGCAGCAAGTGCAGCTGTTGTCAACAGCAGCAGCAGCAGCCGCGTCCGGTGATAGAGTATATGGTGGTAGAGAGTCCTGACGAGGCAGCACTGCGTTCGTGGGAGCAGCGTGTTGCTAAGAAGGGGGCACTGCAGCAGCTCGAGTGTGACTTAAACCGCATGCAAACCCTCATGCATCTCTTAGCAGCTTACTCAGCAATCGTCGGCACCACACACAGCGTCATCCATGCATTTGTCCAACCAAGTCCGTATCCGGGGGTTTAGGGTTTTGGGTTTAGGGTTTAGGGCCGAGGTCTTTGTGCCTAGGGTTCAGGTTTTAGGGTTTAGGGCTTGAGGTTTATTTAGGAGTTGGGGTTTATTTAGGCTTCGCTGTCCAGGGTTTAAGCTTTAGGGTTTGGCGTTGAGGGTTTGGGGTTTAGGTTTTATGCTGTTTTCCTGCTGCAGGCTTGCTGCGGGCCCTCATCGGCTTCCTGCGCCACCGCGATCCGCTGTTGGTGCCGGTGCAGATGATTGTGCTGCGTGCGTTAGAGGCGCATGTGGAGCAGCAGCACAGCAGCAGCAGCAACAGCAGCAGCAGCCAGTTGTTGCAGTTTATTCAGGAGGAGCTTCAACTACCAGAGAGACTCCAGGAACGAATGCTCTATGACGCCGCCTGCATGCAGCAACGTGTAAAGGACATGCAGCAGTACGAACGCTGGGTGGGATGCTGCTGCGGCAGCAGCTGCAGCTGCAGCTGCAGCAACAGCAGACGTTCCGACGGCAAAACCAGCAGCAGCAGCGGCGGCGACGGCGAACTCGCTGTAGACGGTGAAACGAAGCCTGCGACGTCGTCCGATAGCAGCAGCAGCAGCAGCAGCAAGAAGTGCTGCTGCTGTGGCTGCTGCACACCCAACGCTGGCATTGATTGGACAGAACGTTGGGTATACCCGGCAAATGTATGTCGCATTCATATTTCTTCTGTGTCCCATTTTTCTATTTTCTTTATCTCCCTCTTGGCCGTCCTGATTTGCTGGTGCTGGTGCTGCTGCTGCATTTGGTTCGTTGCCTCTGCTGCTGCATTTGCTGCTGCTGCATTGGCTGGTGCTGCATTTGCTGCTGCGTCTGCGCTATCAGGGGAGCGACGACGAGCGTTTGTTATATTGGTTGAAGGCATGCGAGGTAGAGACAAGACGTTGTGTCTTAAAGACAGCAACAAAACAATTTTATTTTCTTGCAGCAAATCACAAGATACATCCTCCCTTCCTTCAAGATATGTTGGGCCCAAGGGCCCCCCTTGCTGTCCTATGCGCCGATATCATCGGAAACCCAGAACAGTAAGCACTTGTGCTGCTGCCTCTGCTGCTGCTCCCACTGCTGCTGCTTCTTTTGCTGGTCCGGGTGTTGGATGTTTGTGTGCTGCTGCTCCTGACACGGTAGAGGGTTTAGGGTTTAGGGGTTAGGGTTTGGTGTTTGTGTGTCTTTGCTTTAGCTTTGGCGTCGGGTGCGTTGCCTCTTTCTTGTCTGTCATCACGGATGCTGTCTCTGATGCTCCCCGACATGCAGCAGCAATTGTCCAGCTGCCTGTTGTTGCTCTGCTGCTGAGCAGCGTGCATGCGTCTTACCTACGCATCTATCTGCAGCAGCAGCAACAGAAGAAGCAGCAGCAGCAACAGGGGGAACAGCAGGGGGAGCAGCAGGGGGAGCAGCAAGTGAGCAGCGTTTACCGGTACCAACACCAGCAGCCCTTGTCACTGCAGGGGCAGCAGCAAGACGTGGCTATGCTGCTGCGGCGGCAGCAGCTGGCACAGCAATGCGTGCTGCTGCATGAGGGCTGCCTTAATGCCCTCGGGGCTTTTATTACTTCTTTGGCTTCGCATACATCAGGGTTAAAAGCCCTACGTCAAGACAAGGTCGACCAACTGGTAGAAGAGAGGCTTCAAAAGCTGCAGCCCCAGCAGAACCAGCAGCAGCAGCAGCAGCGTGATGGGGAAGGGGCACCGGCAGGGGAAAGTGCACAAACGGGTCAATCAGAGAGCCAGCAGCAGCAGGAGAGACCTGCTGCAGATGGTGCCACATCGGCAACGGAAGAACCAACAACATCGACAACCGGTGCTGCAACAGGCGCAAGCGCAGCAGAACCAGCAGCAGCAGCAACTGGCGCTGCAGACTCTGCTCCAATGGAAGTATGTGAGCCTGTAGCAGCGGCAGAATCAGCAGGGACATCGAGCTCTGCTGAAGGATCAACTGGCGCAGCAGCAACAACAGCAGCAGCTGGAGCAGCGGAGGCTCAAGACGATATAGGTGCTGTTCAAGCAGAAAAGGATGCTTTGCTGCTGCTGCGGCGTCACCTGCAGATGCAGCAGGAGGATTTATTGTCTTTTCAAGGATGGCAGAAGCAACCTGGCAGTCGCTTCTCTCCTTGGGCTGCCTGTTCTCTCCTTGTGCATGTAGCTGCTTCTGCTGATGTTGTGCTCCTCGATCGATTCGGGGAAGCTGCTGCAGGGGTGAGGACTTTGCTGCTGCCGCTCTGCTGCTGCTGGGGCTGCTGCTAGTAGTGGTGTTTGGTTGTATTATCCTGAGCATAAGGTGCTGACTTGCTGCTGTTGTTGTTGTTGCTGTTGCTGCTGCAGCTGGGCACGGCCCTAGATGAGGTGTTAGGAGCAGTAGCGACCTCTTCTGTTTCGACGGCGGAGGCCTTGGGGGGTGTGGAGGCGCGAGATATGCTGCTGCAGCAGACACTGTTGCTGCTGCAGCAGCTACTCGTCGCAGCAAGAAAGCTGCCCCCTTGGAAGCCCGTGCCCGCAGCCCTTGCTGCAGCAGAGACGCGAGAGAAGGCACAACAGAGACCGATGGACGTTACAGATCTGCAGGTACGATATACCTCGCACATATTGCTGTTGCTTTTGCTGCTGCTGGCGCTATTACGTATAATGCTGCTGCTGCTGCTTGGGCACTACAGTGGAATGCAATGCGTACAGCTTTGGCTTGCGGTCTGCGCTGCTGACATCTGCTGCTGCTGCTACTACTACTGCTGCTACTGTTTCTCCGCCTTTTGTGGTCGTGGGGTGCACTAGGTGGTGTATACGGTGTTGTATTGATGGGTGCGCTATTGTTACTTGATGTATTGTCTTGTGCTGTTGCATTTGCTGCATATGCTGCATTTGCTTCATTTGCTGCTACTGCTGCTGCTGCTGCTGCTGCTGCTGCTGCTGCCGTTGGTGTTTCAGCTTCGGGGTTCTTCTTCGGAGTGGCTGTTGGATCGTCTAGCAAATGCTGCTCGGTTTTTGTCGGCCTTGTTGGCATCAACAGAGACGCAGAGATGCTTTGTGTCTAGGGGGGGGATAATGCTGCTGCTGCAGCTATCTGACAGCAGCTGCCTGCCTCCTGGTTTGCTGCATCTCTTCCCTCAACACCCTCTAGTCCACTTGCTAAGACATGCAGCACCATACGACTCCGCGTTGCAGCAGCAGGCGGTGCAGCAGCTGTTGCTAGACAGGGCCTTGTGTTCATTGCAGCGCCTCCTAGCTCTGAAGCAGCGCTGGCGTGCCAACGGCTACTGGCCACGCCGCCAACAGCAGCAGCAGCTGCAGCAGCAGCAGCAGCAGCAGCTACCTGAGCCTCTGAGGAGTATCCCGCAGATCGAGCGAAGAGAACTTATCTTTGCCCTGCATGGTTGCTGCAACTCCTTAGCATTGCTGCTGTCTTTGCACCGCGAGTTCTGTCAGGCCTACGGCACTGCCCCCACAAGAACCGCTGCCTTCGCCCAGCAGCAGCAGCTGCAGCTACTGCTGCTGCACCTCAGCCACCTGCTGCTACTGCTGCAGCCACTCTTCGCCTGGCTACTACAACTCCTCTATGCATGCGCTCCTCCTGCCGATGGAGAAAATCCCTCGCTACTTAACTTGAAACATAACAGCCACGAACATCCTTCTGTCAGGGCGAGCAGGCTGCTTCATGAGCAGCAGCAGCAGCAGCAGCAGTCAAAGGGACCCGCAGCAGCACCACCTGATCAACCTCTGTCAAACAATGACATGTTATGGAGTTCATTGGGAGAATTTGCATACTCTTCGCCGCCTCCGCTGCCTGCAGGATGTTGCAGCGGCAGCAGCGTGGGCAGCGATCCTACAGATAGCAGCAGTGACACCAAAAGCGTTGTTGCAGCTACCACCAGCAGCAGCGACAGCAGCGACAGCAGCAGCAACAGCACCAGCAGCAGCAGTGTGGGGACCTCCGGCTGCAGCGGCGCTGAGTTTGTGTCTGTGGAGGCAGCAGACAGCCCAGTGGTGCTGCAGGAGTTGCTTCGTGCTGCATGCGTGACATGCAGGAACTTCCTGTGCATGGTGAGAGAGCTGCTAGAGCATAAACGAGGGCTGCTGCTGCTGCTACCCTACTGCTGCTGCTGTTGTTGTTGTAGTTGTTGCGGATGTTCGCTGCTTCTTTTCCTAGAGGAATTCGCCACTAATGTGCTGCAAACGGACTAGCGAATGCTGCTGTTGCCGCATGTTCTACTTCTTCCTCTCGTTTTTCTGCTGCTGCTGCTGCAGGTGAGCCGGCAGATCAACGGGGGCGGCCCGCGCGTGGGACGGAAGTCTCCACCTCAGCAGCAAATTGCTTCAGCTCATCTCTTCCTCATAGCGGAGACAGCACGTGTCTTGCTCGACAGCGTTCCTGCGGTGCCGCTGCCTGTGCCGCCACTGCTTCACGCCTTGCCGTCTGCTTCAGCAGCAGCAGCAGCAAATGCTGCAGGCAGCAGCAGCAGCAAGGTTCAGTATGTGCAGCCTGAAGCAGCTGCTGCCGCAGCGGACGCTGCTCGTGCGGCCGAAGCCGCAGCAGCAGCACCCACTGCAGCGGCGACGGCTAGCAGCGCGGCCGAGATGGATGTTGACAGCAGCAGCAGCAGCAGCAGCAGCAGCAGCAGGTTCGGCATCCATGGCCTAACAATGGTGCAGTCGCTTTCTTACTTATCGGACGTCTGCGATATTCTCTACAAACTTCACGTCGATGAGAAGAACAGAGGAGTCCTTATGACCCTCAGCTTTGACCTCTTCCAGAAGGTAATCCATTCACAGCAGCAGCAGCAGCAGCAGCAGCAGCAGAAACTGTCGCAGCAGCAGGAGCTGCATTGCGGAATAAAGTAGATCTTACGAGAGGGAGCAGCAACAGTAGCAGCAGCAACAACATGTTGTTTTTGTTTGGTGTTGTGTATTTTGCTGCTGCAGGTTGGGGGTTTCTCAGCATTAATGAAGGCTCTACACTACAGCGCTGCATGCAACGTGGCGGTGTGTGCGTTGTTGGCGACTCGCGTCTGTTCCTGCTGCAACCCCATAGCCATGCAACAGCAGCAGCAGCAGCAGCAGCAGCAAGGAGGTAGTAGTGTATTTGATGAGGTGAAGCCGTGCAAGCACTTGAACATACAGAAGATGCTGCCGCTATCCTTGTTTGCTGCTATAACACCAAGTGACGAACAACAGCAGCAAGAGCAGCAGCAAGATGCACAGGAGGAGCAGCAGAAGGCTGCGGCTCGTCGTGCATTGTTTGTTGAGTGGGTAGAGGCAGCAGCAGCAGAAATTGCTGCTGCATGCCCCTCCGTGTCTCAGCTAATTTATTTAAGGAATGCAGCAGCACGGCAGCTGCAGAGTTGTCTAGCCTATGTAGACAGGGTAACCTCATGGAAGAGATGCATGAACTCTGGATTTACACCGCAGGCATTCAGGTATGTTTCCTGCTGCTGTTTCTGCTGTTGTTGCTGCTGGCGTTGCTGTTGCTGCTGTCGTTGCGGATGCCGCTGCTGTTGATGATGCTATTGCTGTTGATGCTGCTGCACTTGCTGCTGCAGGTATTACCCTCGACCTTCGTACTTCGAGCCGATGGAAGAGGAAAACCAGCAACCTGCGGCTTCAGCAGCAGGAACATCAGCAGCAGCAGCACCAGGATCAGCAACTGGCGGCGAAACTGGTTCGGCGGTCGACATTGATGTGGAGAATGGCAGCAGCAGCAGCAGCAGCAGCAGCAACAGCAGCAGCAAGCTAATGACATATTCAGCTTCTTTGGAGTCTCTGAGCCGAGCCTATTCCGATCTGCATGATTTGTGCTGGGCCGACGGCGGTCAGCTATCAGCTGCTTGGAGCACTGCAGCAGCATCTTTGCAGAGCGAGGAGCAGCAGCAGAAGCAGCAGCGGCTGCAGGAGCTTCTGCTGCAGATCATCGTACATCCGGACATCGCATGCATCGATGTAGCAGGCATGCTGCGAACTGCAGGTTGTGAAGCAGCAGCGCATGCATATGTCTGGTGGGGCTTTGTCTCAAGGTGTGGGGTGCCACTTAAGGAGCGCGAGGCGCAGCAGCACTTCCCTCCCCACAAGCATGCTGGAGCAGCAGCAGCAGCTGCTGCTGCACCGGCCTCCGATGCGTCGCCCAATCCAGCTAACAGCCTAACGGAAGGAGCAGCAGCAGCAGAACCGACGGCTGCTGGTGCTGCTGGTTCGGCGCATGGACGCCCCGGCAGCACTGGACATCGATCGAGCACAGCAGCAGCAGCCAAACGAAGAGGCAGCAGCCGTAAGGGACAGCAGCAGCAGCAACACCAGCAGTCGCAGCGACAGCAGCAGTTGGCAGCAACAGAAGACTCAGAGGTCGACAGCACTGAGGTGTCTAGACAGCTACAGGTGCTCATTGCCTCCACTCTGCAGCGGACGATCCTCTTCTTCCCTCGCATCTTCTTCCACCTCCTGGATACTCAGGTAGGGTTTAGGGTCTAGGGCTAGTTTCTAGGGTCAAGGGTTTGGGGTTTACTGCTTAGGGTTTGAGGTCAAGGCTTACGGTTAGGTGTTACTGTTTAGGGTTTGCGGGCTGCAATTCAGGAACCTGTGGTGCCTGTCAGCAGCAGCAGTAGGTGCACATGCAGCAATAGGAGCAGCAGCAGCAGCAATGTGGGTGTATACATCTTTGGTTTGTGTCTGCAGACCCCACAGCGTCGGCAGCAGCTGCGCGCTGTGTATGCGGAGGCTGCGGAAGGACTGGCGCAGCAGCAGCGGGCGGCGGCGTCTGGTGGGGGTTCAGTAGCAGCAGCAGCTGCTGCGGCAGCAGCTGCTGCAGCGGCGGCTATACAGCAGCAACAGCAACAGCAGCTGTTGTTGCTGCACCAGCAGGTGCAGCAGCTCGTGGATATGGGCTTCGACAGAGAGGAGGCTGAAATGGCTATTCAAGCTTCTGGTGGCAGAGGAGTAGAAGCAGCAATGGATTATGTACTGGAGATGGATAGGAGAGATTCTGCTCCATCTCGCGATCAGCAGCAGCAGCAGCAGCAGCAGGGCGGCAGCAACTCCAGCAGCAGCGGCACCGATGCCGCCACAGCCTCTGCGGAGGAACCTGCAGCAGCAGCTGCTGCTGCGCCTTCGGAAGGCACCGCAGCGCCAGCGCCAGAGAACACAAGCAGCCCCGATAGCAGCAGCAGCAGCAGCAGCAGCGCGAATTCAGGTGAAGATTCAGCGGGTGCTGCGGGTGCAGCAGCGTCCCCGGCAACACAGTCGCCTCCCGCCTCACCAGACGCGCCTGCAGCAGGAGCAGCAGCAGCAGCAGAAGGTGAGGGGTCTGGAGGTTCGCCGCTGCAAGCAGCAGCAGCCATACTGGAGGAGTCTTTGAAGACTTCGGGATCGCGCCCTTTGTCTTCATCGGTTGTGCGCTCTGCCCTCATGCGTGCTGCTGCTGCTGCTGAACCAGCAGGTCTACCGTTGTCTCCTCCTTCCCTGCTGCTGGCAGGCGATGGAGAGATAAGATGGACTTGCGGGTTGCTGCGGGAGCAGCTGCAGCAAAGTACGGTATGGGGCCCCCCACCTCCGGCGCTGGTGCAGGGGCTGCAGCGAATTGCTAACAGCAACAACCAGCGCATGGCAAAGCGCGTGGAGGAATCCGGCAATTCCAGCAACAGCAGTAGCAACAGCAGCAGCAACAGCAGTAGCAACAGCAGTAGCAACAGCACCAGCAACAACAGCAGCAGCAGCAACACCAGCAGCAACAGCAGCAGCAACAGCAGCAGCAACAGCAGCAGCAACAGCAGCAGCAGCAGCAACTCAGGCGACCAGTCAGGGACACTCGTTGGAGCGTTTGCTGCTGCAGCAGGCCACCCAAGCAACGAAGGTTTCTGGATGGAGCAGTCGCCGCAGGGTCAGGGACAGCAGCAGCAGCAGCAGCCCAACAGTGGGGCATCCGGGGCACGGGAGCCCAGCGATTTGGAGCTGCTTCTGCGCTCTGTCGACGAAGACATGGTGCAGCAGCAGCAGCAGCAGCATGGGCTGCTGCGTGAGGTGCCTGCAGCTCATCCTAAACAGCAGCAAGAAGAGCAGAAGCAAGAGGAACAGGAGCAACAGCAGCAGCAGCAGCACAAGGAGCAACAGCGGGTGCTGCATGGACACTTCAGCGATGCTTTTGCTCTCGCATTAGGATCTTTGCTGCGGCAGCGGCTGCTTGGTGATCTTATCTCCAGTGCATGCGCTTCTCCCTTGGGTGTGCCTGGTTTGTGTGAAGCCTTCCTTAAGTTTGTCTGCTCTTCTTGCGACCTTAGACCCCAGCCCCCGCAGCAGCAGCAGCAGCAGCAGCAGAAGCAGAAGCAGAAGCAGCAGCAGAAGCAGCAGCCTGCGAAAAGAAGCACAGCAGCAGCAACAAAAGATGGAAATTCAACAACACCTTCTGGAGATGTTCAGCCGATGCCTGTTGAAGGCGAAGAAGCAGGTGCTGCTGCTGGTGCACAGCAGCAGCAGCAGCCACTGTATCCATGGGAGCTACCTGACAACAGCACCAGCAGGGGTTCGAGGCCGCTAAGCTGCATGGAGAAGAATGCTGCTGCTGCCTGCTACATGCTGATTCGCCGTCTCGCCTGTCTTCGTGGGGCCATGCAGCACATGCTGAAGGCCGAACCAACGTTAATGGGTGTGCGGGTGCCCGCAGCAACAGCAGCAGGAGCAGGAGGTGCAGCAGCAGCTCCACAGAGCGACTTGCATCGGGCTGTTGGAGTGTACATGTGCATGCGGCTGCAGCAGCAGCTTTACTGCTGCAGCTTCTTTATGGCTCATCTGCTGCACCGTCGTTTCTGTTGGAAGGATGCACTGGTTCGGTGTGCAGAGGCAGCAGCAGCAGCATGCGAACCGGGCAGCGTTGCAGCAACAGCAGCAGCAGCTGCTGCAACGCACCCTATCTCCCTCTTCTCCTCTCTTATCTGCTGGTACGCCTCAGCAAATGTCCATGCAGCAACAGCAGCAGCAACAGCAGGTACTGCAATGCTGACAGACACGAAGGGTTGGTATCAGTGTCCTGAGATGTTGGATGCTTGCCTCGATACAACTGCAGCAAGTGCAACAAAAGCAGCAGCAGCAAAAGAAGGAGCGGCAGCAACTGCAGCAGGAGGGAAAGCATCTGCCTTGCTGCCTCTCCCCGGCTGGTGCCTCCTCAACTATCCCTCTACAGGAGCGGTCGAGCTGCAGGAACTTCGTGTTGCTGTTGCAGTTCCTAAGTACGGTCTGCTGCGGTTGGCGGCGGTGGAGGGGTTGGAGGCACTGCAACAGCAGCTGCAGCAGCAGCAGGAAGGACGGGCTGCAGCAACTGCTGCTGTCGTCTTAGATCGCCCAGCAGGACTGTCAGCACCTGCTGCTGCATATCTTCCTCCTTTTATCTCTCCTGCCCTTCTTTGTATCGAAGAAATGATGGGAATGTATTTGCTGCAGGACACTGCAGCGCATGCAGACCCGCAGCAGCACGAAAGCGCCAGCAGCAGCAGCAGCAACGCCTCAGGCGATACGTTAACTTCTGCTGTTAGTGCTTCCGTCGCTGCCCTCAACAGCAGCAGCAGCAAAGACAACAATAGCAACAGTAGCACCAGCCAGACGACGCAGCCAGTCGCCTCGCCAAGCCAACCAACCAGCAGCAGCAGCAACAGCAGCAGCAGCAGCAGCAGCAGCAAGGATGAGGTGGCAAAATCTGGGGGTGCGCCAGACTTGGGATATGATGAATTGCTGCGGTCCTTTACAGCAGCAGAGCAGCGACAGATGGTTGCTGCTTGTTTAGATCTGCTGCTGCTGTTCCCTGCAGCAGATGGCGATGCAGTCCTTGCCGTGCTGCAGCTGCTGCGGCGGTTGACGTCAATATACGGCAACGCCTTGATGTTGCTGCTGCATCAGCCCAAGGGGCGTTATAGGGCAATGCCCAGCTCTCCTCAGCAGCAGCAGCAACAGCAGCAGCACCAGCATCAGCAGCAGCCATTGGGTTGGGGGTTAGGCGTGCTGCTGCGGTTGCCTAGGACAAGCAGCTGCAGCGGATTAGTCTCCTTATTATGTGCTATTATTACGAACATATTAGAAGAACCTTCTCTCATTGCTGCATGCGTAGAGAGAGGCCTTCGTGTTGCTTTTGCTGCAGGCAGCAGAATGGCACACCAGACCCATCTCAGAGTAGGCTACCGCTGCTGTTGCTGCTGCTGCTGCTTTTGTTGTTGTTGCTGTTGCTGCTGCTCCTTTTTCTGCTGCTGGGATGTTATTTTTGGTGCTGCTGGTACCACTGCTGGTACTTTTTCTCCTGGTGTTGTTGCTGCTGCTGTTGGTGTTGGTACTGTGTCCTTGCTGCAGTTGGTGCTCAAGTGTCCATAGGCTCATTTGTGTCCTGTCTGCTGCTGCTTGCTGTTGCTGTTGCTGCAGGTACATGGCAGCGCACCTCCTGGGGAGACACCAACACCATTGCTGCCTGCTGACTCTGTCTTGAAGTCATTAGGGCCGCTGCTGTCTCGAAACCCTTCGTTGGTGGAGCAGGTGTTGAGCTGCTGCTGCAGCATTCACAAGCAAGTGCTGCGGCCACCGCAGCAGGAGCAGCAGGAACAGGATCAGCAGCAGAAAGAAGAACAATCTGACGCAAACAAACCGGCGAAAGAGGATGCAGGCTCGTCAACTGCTGCAGCAACAGGTGCAGCAGGTGACAGACCGGCTACGGAGGGCCAAGCGCCACGAAGCAGCAGCAGCAACGACAGCAGCAGCGGGACAGCAATGGCGGAGGACGTGGCTCCTGCAGCTACAGCAGCAGCAACAGGAGCTCAAGAAGACAGCAGCAGCAGCAACAGCAGCAGCGATACGAGCAGCGTGATGCCTCGCCCGTTCTACCCCAGCAGCATCTTCGTGGGCCCCAAGGCCGGTTACCTCTTTGGCAGAGGGTCGAAGGGATTAGGGTATTACTACTGCAGCAGCAACAATAGTGACAGCAGCAGCACCAGCAGCAACGGACGCACCTGGTGCTGCAGCGACAAGTCCTTCCAGGAGGTCCTGCTGCTCGGGTGGTTGAACGAAGACAAGCGCCAGCAGCTGCTGCTACAGCAGCAACAGAATCAGCACCCGCAGCAGCAGCAGCAGCAGCAGCAGCAGCAGCAACAGCAGCAGCAGCGACCACAGCAGCAGCAGCAACAACAACAGCAGCAACAACAGCAGCGGCAACCCCAGCAGCAGCAGCCACAAGGAGAGCAGCAGCAACAGCAGCAGCCGGCACAGGCGCAGCAGCAGCAGCCTCAGCAGCAGCTGCAGCGCCGAGTACGTCGGCTGCTGCAAGCAGCATCGAAGCCTCCTCTTGTGGGGCCCGTGGTGTTGTCGGTGTTAATGGATCACTTGGTGTTGCTGCTTAATGTGCATGCATCTACCCTTCCTGCCCCTGTAAACAAACTGCCACAGGCGGAGCTGCAGCAGCAGCAACAGCAGCAGCAGCGGGAGTGGCGGCACCTTTCGGACATCGAGGGGGGCTTGCATGCACACGAAGAAAAGCCTGTATTCCCCTTCGTAGTAACAGCAGAGAGACTCCTGTATATGCTGTCGCAGCTTGTGTCTCTCTTCCCTCATATGCTGCCGTTGCTGCTGAAGCCAATTAGCGTTGGGACTCCTGCTGCTCCGCATTTACAGGAGAGCAGCAGCAGCAGCAGCATCAGCAGCAGCAGCAGCAATACAGCACCACCTGCGGCACAAGCTGCAGGTCGAAGTTCAGGCCGCACGAAACTCAAGCAGCAGCAGCAGCAGCAAGCGAACGGACCCAAAGCTGAAGGTGGCAGTGGGCATAAGCAGCAGCACCACTTGCAGCACCAGCACCAGCAGCACCATGTGCATGCAGAGCCTCGGCTGTATATGCAGGAGGCCTCCCCTTGGCCTTTTGTCTCCACCTGCCCCGATTTGCTGCGGTGTACAGGCAGCGACGTAAGGCTCCTCTTGCAGCACGGAGCAAAGGACCAGCAGCTGCAGCAACTGCACCAGCAGCACCACCACCATCAGCACCAGCACCATGCGCAGCAACAGCAGCAGCAGCAGCAGCAGCAGACCTGCGGAGGACAGCATCGCTTGTCCGTCGTAGATGTGCTGCTGCAGGAAGTGCTGCCGAGGCTGTTGTCGATTTCTCTTGCTGGTAACTCCCCTGTGCTTGGCACTCAACAGCAACCGCAGCAGCAGCAGTTGCTGATGCAGCGCAAGTCAGCAGCAGCAATGCTGCAGCAGTTCTCCAACTTGCTTGCAGCTATGGGAAGCAGCAACGCGGAGATCCGACTTGTGCTTATTCGCCATGTCGTGTCTTTGCTGCGGGTAGCACGCGGACGCACTGCAGCAACAGCAGACGACAGCAGCAACAGCAGCAACAACAGCAGCAGCAACAACAACAGCAGCAGCAGCAGTGGCATATCTGCAGAAGCGGGAGAGGCGCTTAAGGGTGGCGATCTCCTAGACACTGGTGTTGTCTGTCTCCTCGTGACGTTGCTGCAGCGCCTGCTAGCAGTAACTCCCCCGATGTTGCCGATGCAGCCGCAGCAGCAACAGGCCTCCAAGACAGCAGGTGCAGCAGCAGCAGCACCTGAAGGAGCATCCGGGTGTACAGACAGCACGCGGCCACCCCACAATAGCCGCCCAGATGGAGACGGTGGAGATGTCGGGGGTGCAGATGCAAACACCCAGCAGCAACACCGCAGCAGCAGCAGCGGCAACAGCAGCAGTAGCAACAGCGGCGGCAGTAGCAGCAGCAACAGCAGCAGCAATAGCAGCAGCAACAGCAGCAACACAGGACGGGTTCGAAGCACTGGTGGAGGACAAGGTGGAGGTCACACCAGCAGCAGCAGCAGCAGCAGCGGTGGGGGAGGAGATGATGGTGACGACGGGGATCCTCCCCCCAACAAGGGGTCAGGCCGTGGGGCTGATGCTCCTGATGTACCTGATCCGCAGCAACAGCAGCAGCAGCAGCACGGACGTGCGCTGCAGTGCCTGTCTCCTAAGGAGCAGCGGCAGCTACGTGAGCTGCTAGCAGGTTTGCTGCTGCATCTTAATTTGCATGCAGAAGACAGTCACGCTGTTGCAACAGCAATCATCCGTTGTCTGCTGCACCTAACATCTCCCCCCAATGTTCATCTGCTTGGACTTGACGGGAAGCAGCAACAGCAGCAACAGCAGCAGCAGCAGCATGGGGGCACAGGGAGAGCCTCACCAGCAACAGGTAGCGGATTTGCTGGGGAAGATGGGGGCTCTGCAGCAGCAGCAGCAGCAGCAGCAGAGGAAGAAGATGATGACGACGAAGACAGTGCAGATGGAGACGATTTAGATGGTGACGATGATGATGAAATAGATATTGAGCTTGTTGTAGATGGAGACAGTGACAGCAGCAGCGGCAGCAGCAGCAGCGGCAGCAGCATTGATGAGGATGAGGAGGACCATAGTACTGGTGTTGAAGGTAGTGGCCGTTTCTCTGCTGCTGCAGGTGGAGGAGCAGCAGGAGCAGCAGGTGGTGCGTCGGACATTGGTGCAGCTAATCTTGCTGCAGCAGCGGCAGCAGCAGCAGATGATGAAGGATCAGGAGGTGCAGCAGGAGCAGGGGAATCAGATGATGGGGATTTACAAGGAGAAGAGGATAATAATGATCATGAAGAAGACGATGAAGAAGATGACGAAGAAGATGACGAAGAAGAGGAAGAAGAAGATGAGGAGGAAGAAGATGATGAAGGATTTGCTGAACTTTCTGTATTAGATGGACTTGGTGATGAAGATGAAGATGATTCACAAGAAGATGAAGAATATGGAGGTATTTATTCCTCCTCCTGCTGCTGCTGCTGCTGTTGCTGCTGCTGCTCCTTACCTTGCTGCAGCAAACTACTAACTGCCGCTGTGTTGCTGTGTTGTTGCTGCTGCTGTTGCTGTTTTTTTTTTGCTTGGTGCCTGAGCTAGCTGTTTGCTGCTGCAATGGTGTTGGGGGGTCTCATTGCATTTTGTTTGCTGATGCTGCTGTTGCTGCTGTTTTGTGCAGAAAACAGCGAAGAGGAGAGCGATGGAGGTGGGAATACGTTCCTTGGGGATCGTCTCCCCCACGAGCTGGAGTTCGATCCCGATCCCCGCAGCGGCATTGCCTTAGGTGGCGAAGATGCAGCAGCGGAAGGACTGCAGCATGATGATGACGAAGAAGATGAAGAAGATGATGAGGATGATGATGATGATGACGCTCCTAGAATTAGGGTTTGTCTAGGGTTTAGGGTTTAGGGTTTAGGGTTTAGGGTTTGTGTATTGTATATATTTCCCTAGGGTCTTTTTTCCTCGTTCTTTCTTTGCTGATGCACCTAGGAGAGCTGCAGCAACACAGCAAATGGTAAATAATAAATATTAACTAAACGTATTCTTTTTTTTGTGTGTTTGTTTCTTTTTGCTGTGCTATAACAGGAAAGAGGAGAAATAGATTACCTAGGGGGACCTGAAGATGATGATCTTGAGGCAGCAGATCTAGTAGAGGAGGTAGCGGGCCCCACACTTCTGAGTCATCCTTTCTTAGCAGAACCTGTTGTTCCTTCTGCTGAGGCACCTGCGCTGCAGCCTCCTCCTCCTCCTCCTCCAGCAGCAGTAGCACCAACAGCAGCAGCTCAGCAGCAAACGCAGTCGTCGCAAGCAGCACAGCAGCGAAACGACGACAGCTCGCGCACGAGCTCCGCTGCTCCTGCTGCAGGAGATGCAGCAACATCGGGTACATCAGCTGCAGCAACAACGGGTGCAGCAGCTACTGATGCCCCAGCAGCAACAGAGACGGCACCCATGGAGGCGGATGGGCCGTCAGACACGACTCAGCAGCAGCAGCAGCAGAGTTCTACATCAGAAGCCTCTTCCGCATTAGCGACGGCTGCCACGACCTCTGCAACAACAGCAGCAGAGACCCCTGAGCAGCAGCAAGAGCCACAGCAGCAACAGCAACGGCAGCAGCAGCAAAGCGGCTCGACTTCCTCCTCTTCAGGGTCTTCGAGCAGCAGCAGCAGCTCTTCAGCAGCAGCACCCAGCTCAGCTGCCCCTGCCTCTCAAAGCGGGGGTTCATCTGCAGGGGCTCAGAGACGGGGCCCTCGTGGCTCTGACAGCAGGGCTAGCGGCAGCAGCAGCAGCAGCGGCGGCAGCAGCAGCAGCAGGGGCGGTGGCCGTGGAAGGGGTTCAAGCCCCGGAACGAGGGGAGGACGTGGAACGGCTTCTGAGGGTCTCAGTGGAGGTGACGCAGAAGGGGAGTTGGTGGGGGGTGGTGCTGTGGCTCAGCAGGAGGAGTCATCAACTGTTCCTGCAGCTGCAGCAGCTGCAGCTGCAGCAGCAGCAGCAGCAGCAGAGTCTGTTAGCCTTATAAGCTCAGCACTACAACGAGAACCTAGAGGAGCCTTCCGCTTCCATATAGATCTAGCAGGACTTGAGGATGTTGCTGCTCTTAGGTCTGCTGTTCAGGATGCAGAGGAGAGGGGTATAACAATTGCTCCTCTTGCTGCAGCAGGTTACGTGACAGGCCCTTCTCGTCGGTTGGGTGCTGGTGCAGCAGGAGCAGCAGGAGCAGCAACTGCTGCAACAACAGCAGCAGGTGCTGCTGTTCCACCGGGAGGCAGCAGCAGCGAAGATCTTTCTGCTCCCCCGCCATCTCCACCCGATGCTGATTTGCTGCCACCTGCAGAACACCCACTGTTCCTCCTTTGTCCTAGGCCGGCTCCTACAAGTGTGCTGCAGCTGAGCAGCAGCACCACCAGCAGCAGCGGCGGCAATCCATTTGCTCTGTTCAGCAGCGCAGGAGGCAACGTTGTTGCTGCAACAGGTGCAGCAGCAAACATTGGGGAGCGGCTGCTAGACTCTCTCTTCGAAGACCTAGCAGGAGGTATATTTAGACCTGCAGCAGCAGCAGCGCGCAGACAGGGGCAGCAGCCTCGACCTCTGCACCAGCAGATGCAGCAACTACGCCAAACCAGGGAACAGGAAGCTGCAGCAGCTGCTGCAGTAGCAGCTGCGGCTGCCACGGGAAGGCAGCAGCAGCCGCCCGTCGGTGAAGCCGGCTCCGCCGTCTCGGTTGCTGCTGCGACAGCAGCAACAGCAGCAGCAGCAGCAACTGCAGCACAGCACATGCTCTCTGCCTTCGTTACAGATCGTCTAGCTACCAGGTCCATTAGCTGCATTGAAGTTGAACCCGCCCCGATTCAGGCTTGCCCTTCGCCGCAGCCATCTGCTGCTGGAGACAGAGCAGCAGCAGCAGCAGATGCAGATGCTTCAGCAGATAGAACAACAGATGCTGCAGCAGACAATGCTGCTGCTGCAGATTCTGCTGCACCTGCAGCAACAGAACAAGCCCAGCCTTCTGAGGCGATTGCTGAGGACCGGCCCACTGATTCAGCAGCAGCAGCAGCAGGAACAACAGCAGCAGCAACAGCAACACCAGACGCGCCTGCAGCAGAATCAGAACAAGCCCAAGGACCGCAGCAGGAACAACAGCAGCAGCAACAGGATACTAGCGAGACGTCTTCGTCTTCGAGTGCGGCGACCGCCTCTCCTGAACGCCCAGCAGAAGCAGCAGGTGCAGCAGCTCCTGCAGAAACAGCAGCAGCAGCAGCTCCTGCAGAAACAGCAGCAACCGAGGGAGGTAGTGCGGAGGCAGCAGAAGGCGAGTCCATGGATATCGACGCGGGCGACGCTCCTCGTGAGGAGAGTAGCAGCAGTAGCAGCAGCAGCGGCGACAGCAGCAGCAGTTCTAGCAGCAGCTCTAGCAGCAGCAGCTCTAGCAGCAGCAGCAGCAGCAGCAGCAGTGAGCCGTCGCTAGCATCCCTTGCATGTGCTTTGGGGCTTACGGAGACATCCTTGCTCGAAGCAGCAGGAGTTGATCCTTCCTTCTTAGAGGCGCTTCCTCCTGATCTAAGACAGGAGATCCTGCAGCAGCAGCTGCGGCTGCTGACGATAGAGGCGGTGGAGCAGCGGAGAGCAGCAGCACGCCCTGCTGCTGCTGCTGCTTCTCCTGCTGCTTCACGAACAGAATCTGCAGCGGGAGCAACACAAGAAACGGACGCAGCAGCAACAACGGCCGCTGCAGGAGAGAGTGCCCAACAAGCTACAGAAGCGGGAGCAGCAACAACAGCAGCTCCTGCTGATGCAGCGGAGACAACTGCAGCTGAAGGGCAGCAGCAGAGGGGAGCAAGCGATGCGCAAGAACCAGCAGCAGCAGCAGCAGGGTCAGCAGCAGCCGGTGGAGATTCGGGTTCTGCTGAAGCGAGTTCCCCCGCTGCAGCAGGTTCCGAAGGCGCAACAGCAACAGCAGCAGCAGCAGCAGAGGAGGAGCAGCAGCAACGTCCTCTTTTGCGTGATTTGCCTTTGGATCTGTTGAACGTGCTTCCTGCTGCAGTGCGGCAGGCAGCAGTAGCAGGTTGCCGCGACGGAGACAGCTCGGAGGGGGCAGACGCTGCAGCAGCATCAGCAGGTGCAGCAGCAGCAGCAGAGTATGATAATGCAACATTCCTTGCAACACTAGAACCTGCACTGAGACAAGAAGTGCTGCTAACAGCAGATGCTTCTGTCTTAGAGGCGTTGCCTAGGGAGCTGCAGGTAGAGGCAGCGCTGCTGCGGGAGCGAGCAATGCAGCGGCAGCAGCAGCGACAGCAGCAGCAGCAACAGCAGCAGCGAGCTGCAGCGGCAGCTGCAGCAGCAGCAGCCGCAAATCTCAGCTCAGCAGTAGGACATGGTGTTGTTTCTTCTTCTGCTGCTGGCGACAGACCTAGCAGAAGCACACGTGGTGCTGGTGCAGCAGGAAGCTCTCTTCCTGCTGCATTTGTAGATGCGTCTTTGGCACTCTTTGGCGGTCTCGAGGGACGCTGGGGCGCCCTGGGGCCCCACGCAGCAGCTGCAGCAGCAGCAGCAGCAGCAGCAGGCACACGGCTGCTCGGGGTACAGACCTCCGCGCTTCTACCACGTAGCATACGCCTTGGGCTGCGGGAAGCCCTTATGGATGACTTTGCCTTAAGAGAAGCAGAAGGAGGCAGAGGTGCTGCTGCTGCAGCAGCAGGAGATGCAACAGCCTCGTTGGTTGCTGCTCGTGGCCTGCTGCAGTCATCAACAACGGCACGAAACGCAGCAGCGGCAGCAGGATCGGGATCGGGAGCAGCAGCAGGTGCAGCAGGAAGAGGGGCAGCTGTATTTGGTGGAGCAACAGATGAGTTGCTGCTGCTGCCTAGTGAGCGGTTAATGAGGGCCCCTGCTGCTCTCTCTGGGTCTACTGGTGTTGCACCTTATCCGCATATACAGAATATTGTTTCCTTAATAAGCAGAGGCACCACCAGCAGCAACAGCAGAGGCAGGGGACTGCAGGGCCCATCTGCATACACTGCAGCACTTGCTGCAGCAGCAGAAGGCTCTCCTGACTTCCTTACACTCCTGCTGCGCGAAGGACCCGCCGTTGCTGGTGCTGCTGGACACGGCGCAACAACAGCAGCAGCAGGAGGTCCTCTGTCTGACGACCTCTGGATTGGCTTCCTCTCTGCAGCAGGCGGCGGCATGGGAGGTGGTGGCCCCGGTGGAGGTCCCGGTGGTGGCCCTGGAGGGGGTCCCGGTGGTGGGGGCCCCGGTGGGGGCCCTCACCGTGGGGGCCCCATACGGGGTTGTGGGGGCCCCTTTGGAGGTGCAGCAGGAGCAGCATTTGAAGGTGTCCCTCTGAGTATAACGGGCCTAATGGGTGTATGCCGAGTATTATTTTTATCTAAGGGAGTAAATAAGCGTTTGCTGTTCTTGCTGCTGTTCTCTCTTGCTGCACCGCATGCAGACACAAGAGATGTGCTGCTGTTGCTCTTGGTGTATATCTGCTGGGTAGCTATACCCGAGTGTTATACAGCCTTAAGACAGACAGCAGGACCTGATGCCCTTAACTCATTAGGGTTACCTCCAGTACCTGTGTTGCTGCCTCCTGAGGCATCTGCTTCCTCGCAGCAGCAGCAGCAGCAGCAGCAAGGAGGAGGAATAGGGGGCTTCCAGTGCGAACGTTTTTCTGTTGGGGGTGCAGCAGCAGAACGGGTACTAGAGCAGCTACGCAGTCTTCTTACTGTGCTGCCGCATGCAGCTGCTGCCTTCTGTAAGAAGATGCCGCATCCTCGTTCTCTTACCTACCAAGATCTTGTCAGGCTGCAGCAACGCAGACACCCCAGCAGCAGCAGCAGCAGCAGCAAGGAGCAGCACGCGCAACAGCAACAGCCGCAGGGAGTGGTTAAAAGCGAAACAACGCAACAGCTGGCGCTGACACGGCAGCAGGACCAACAAAACGCACAACAGCAGCAGCAGCAAGTGCAGCAGCAGCAGCAAGAAGGTGCAGCAGAGTGGGGAGAAGATCTGGCCCATGAGCTACGCCGCAAAAAGAAACGCAGGGAACCAGCCAGTAGCAGCAGCAGCAGCACCACCACCACCAGTAGCAGCAGCAGCAGCAGCAACACCACCGCCACCGTCGCCACCAAGGAGGAGCCGGGGACGGTTGCGCTGCCGCAGCAGCTGCAGCAAAAGGGATCGCTGGAGGAGCCTACAGACGGGGAATATCTTATCAATGTTCTTATGGTGTGTTGCTGTTGCTGCTGTTGCTGCAGTTGTTCTTGCTGTTGCTGCTGTTGCTGCAGTTGCTCTTGCCCTTTGTTGGTTGGTGTTCTGGTGACGTTTATTGCATTGCTGCAGCTGCTGTCTTCCCTTCTTAGAGCTAAGCAAAAACAGCATCCCCAGCAGCAGCAGAAGCAGCAGCAGCAGAAGCAGCAGCAGCAGCAGCAGTTTTTGTGTCTGTCTGTATGATGTGTATTTGCTGCTGCAGCAACTGACAGCAACTTCTCTCTTCCAGACTTCTCCCCGTCACATGGCTCATCTTCTTGCTGCAATTCATTTGCTGCTGAGCGGACCAAGCAGCAGCAGCAACAACAGCAGCAACAGCACTAGCAGCAGCAGCAATACCAGCAGCAACACCAGCAGCAGACCACAGAGCAGGAGCTCTGCGGCTACCGCAGGCAGCCGGGCGCAGCAAGGGGAGGCAGAAGCACAGCCCAGCAGCAACACTGCAGCCGCATCCACCCATGGCAGCGCCAGCGGCACAGCTCCTAGCAGCAGCAGCAGCAGCAGCAGCAGCGAAACTGGTGCAGGTTCTTCGGAGCCCCCGGTGGAGGAGATCGTCGTCGACGGCCGCGCCTCCACCTCCAGCAGCAGCAGCAGCAGCAGCAGCAGCCTGAGCATGCAGGAGCGGATGCTTCGTGTTGTGACGGAGGAATCTGTAGAGTGTGTATGCGGTTTGTTGTGCTGCCCTGCTGCTGCTGCTGCTGGTGTGTATGGATTAGGTTCATCAGCACAGCAGCGGGAGACACAGATGCAGCAGCTAGCTGTAGCAGCAAAGATCGTGGGGTGTCTGTACAGCTCACCGCAGCATCGTAAATGGGTAGAGGAAGCATTAAATCGTAACTGTAATGCACTTAGTGATTTCCTTGCTGCTGAGCTTGATGCACTTGCATGCAACTTGAAGCAAGCAGCGCAGCAGCAGCAGCAGCTGCAGCTACATGATGATATATGGGCAAAGAGAGAGGCATTAGAGCCACACTTTGCTGCTTTCTATAGACTCTGTGGTACCCTTAATGACGTATACACCTACCAGCAGCAGCAGCAGCAACAGCAGCAGCAGCAGCAACAACAACAACAACAACAGCAGCAGCAGCAACAGCAACAGCAGCAAGGAACGACTCCCGATGCTGCTACGGACAGCAGCGCAGCAGCAACAACTGCTGCTGCACCATCGAGTGCACCAACTCCTCCAACAGCAGAAACAGCAGCAGCAGCAGCAGCAGCAGCAGACAGTACATCACCGTCTAATAATACATCATCTGATGGTGCATCTTCTTCTGGCACTGGAGCACCTACAACTTCTGCTGCTGCACCCGATTCAACAGCAGCAGCAACAGGAACAGCAGCAGCAGCAACAACAACAGCAACAACAACAAATGTATCTGCATTAGTAAAGTTTAGGGATTTCTTTGATAGATCTAATGTTCATAAGATATGGCGAGCATTAGATGATGTTCTTCTTGCAGTAAGAGAGGCATATCCTGCCCTTAATGCAGAGACAGCAGCAATGCAGAATAGACAAAAGACGCAGCAAACTGCTGCTGCTGCAGCTGCTGCTGCTGCAGCTGAAGCTGAAGCTGCTGCTGCTGCACCTGCACCTTCAACAGGCGAAACACAACAGGAAGATACTGCTGCTACTACTACAACAGGAGAAACAGGAACAGCAGGAGAGAGTGCAACAACAACAACAACAACAGCAGCAGATGCAACAGCAGCAGCAGGAACATCATCATCATCATCATCATCATCATCAGGAACGAGTGGTGATGCAGCAGGAGCAGCAGGAACAACAGCAGGAGGAGCAGCAGGAACAACAACAGGAACAACAACAGGAGGAGGAGGAGGAAGAGGAGGAGGATCAGGAGAAGAGGAAGGTGAAGGTGCAGCAATGGAGGAGAGGGAAGCAGCAGCAGCAGCAGCAGAATCACAAGAATTAGCAGCACCATTAGTAGTAACTCAATTACTTCCTTTATTAGAGGCATACTTTCATGTACAACAAGTATGCATAGCAGCAGATTTAGGACTAAGGGAGGTAGGGCAGCTACAGGAAATGGATCTATTTGCTGCAGCAGCAGAGAAGGAGAAGAATATAGTAGATCGTGTATCTGCAGCAATATTAGAATCTATAGATCCTAAGACAGGTATACCTGATCCAGAGAAAGCAGCAGCAGCAACAGCAGCAGCAAGTGCAGAATTACTTGAACTACAGCAGCAGCAACAAAAAGAAGAAAATGAGGAAGATGGAGGATACGGTGCAAGTAATGAGCGTCATCGTTCTTTTTGTTGTTTTTGTAAGAAACATAAATTATCTATTAATTTATTATTAAAACAGAATCCTAATTTATTATCTTCTTCTTCTTCCTCTGCCTCAACATCAGCAGCAGCAGCAGCAGCAGCAGCAGCTGCTGCAGCAGCAGCTTCATCAGCAAATAATAATAATAATAATAATACAGGTACTGGTACAGGAGCAACAGGATCATCATCATCATCATCATCATCATCATCATCATCATCATCATCATCATCATCAGCAGCAGCAGCAGCAGCAGCAGCAGGTGGCTCCTTCTCCCCTTTATTAAGACTTGCTCCTATGGTCCTCTCCTTTGAGAATAAAAGACATTTTTTTAGACAAAAAATAAAAGAAATTCGTCATTCAAGTCGTGCAGAAAATATTCGTTTATCTGTAAGAAGACAGCATGTATTTACGGATTCTTATCATCAAATAAGAATTAGATCAGGTAATTTATCTTATTTTATTTATTTATTTATTTATTTTATTTATTTATTTATTTATTTTTCCTTATAATACTTATTTTTGTTGTTATT